TGGATTAATATAGAATAGAGCAAGCTTTCTATGCTTCTCCTACAGCATAGAAGTTCTATCCTCCCCCTTATCCAACCGTCCATTCTGAATTGAGGGCTAAGATTGTCCCAATCACAATGCCACATCTCTATACTATTTTACTTTTAATGCTTTTTTATAAACTATTTTGACACCAAATTTTGGACGTCCATTGCTCTATTAAACTCACACTAGCGAAAAATATAAATAACATATTTTCAATAAAATAAAATGACCAAAATACCCCTAAAAAATTAAAGGGGTATTTTGATAATTATATTTTATCAAAAAAATATTTTTAATATTTTTTATAGGTGCACCCCAATGATTAGATGGCACATACTAAATTTCATATTCATACAATTTGTATAAAAAAAACTAAAAATAAAATACTTTGAGACGTAGGATCTAAGATCAAAAGATGAGTGGCTCTCTTGATCAAAATTAGACAGCTGAATGATAGGGGGAGGATAGAACTTCTATGTTGTAGGGGAAGCATAGAAACCTTTTCCTATAGAATATATGGATGCAAGTTTAGTAATAATAGGAATAGAAATGATGAAGTAATTAAGATTGATGGTTGTCAAGAAATACCTAAAAGATATTGTTTATGATATCAAACATTAATAATCCAGGAGAATGGGGAGATTAAGGAAGATGTTGTACATAGAATTAGAGTTGGGTAGGCGAAGTAGAGATGTACATTTGGAATTTTATATAATTGTCGTATACCATTGATGTTGAAAGAGAAGTTCTATAAGGCGATTATAAGATCATCTATGCTTTATAAGACAGAATGTTGGGCAGTCAAGAAACAACATATCTATAAGATAAGTGTAGCTCAGATAAGGATGTTGAGATGGATGAATACATACAAGGGAACTTAGGTGTGGTTTCAATATGTGATAAGATGAGGGAAAGTAGACTTAGACAGGGTTGGTCACGTGCAGCGTAGACCTAATACATAATCGATTGGAAGGTGTGATTTGGTTCAAGTGGAACGTAAATAGAAGTAGTAAGAGAAGATATGGTGGCTTTTGGTCTTACTAAGGATATGACCCTTAATAGAAGAGAATAGAGGAGCAACATTCTAGTAGAGTCGACCCCAAATAATTGAAATAAGGCTTAGATGATGATGATGACTCAGACGACCTTCTCTTCGGGGCCTAGATAATATGGAACTCTTTCGTTTAGCAGTTTTTAGCTAGTAAGCGGAATGAATGAAGAACCTAACTATATGCCATTCATTGTAAATTTATTTATGCCTTAGGTCTATAAACCTAACTTCAACAACAATGCATATTTCATGATCCTTGTTAAAAAGAAGAAAAAGGAAAAAAAAAAGAAAAAAAGATATTAACCATGTGTCTCAATATTTCCAAAGAAATAGTGTACAAAATTAAATCATATGCAAATTTTTATGGATACTGTAGAAAATTGAGAGTGTAGTTAGAATGAGGTTATCCTCTAAAGTTCCCCTCTTTGGCCAAACTAACTGCTTTCGCATTTCTGTCAAAGCATAAACTATAAGTATTGTAGCTTTGATGAAACTTTGAATAATATAAGTGAATGGTCTACAAAAATAATAAAAATTACAGTATTAGACTCTATTTTCTTCTTTTTTTTTTCTTTTCTTTGCTAGATTCATGATCATGGTGGTCTGGATTATAAACTTTCCAATGTCTATCTCCAAGATGAATTTTGGAATGGCAGACTCACTATAAAAGGTATATCCTTGGACTCACCTAAGCCCCTGCCGTTCAATGAATGCAAAAGAGCATTTTCTCTTCTTTTTTTTGACAAAGATTCATCATATTATTAATGGTAGCTACTGAAAATAAATTGCATCAGTCGAAAACATAAGCGAAGACAAAAAAGCCCCACCTTTAGCAAGGGAGTCAGCTAAATCATTAGCCTCCCGATACACATGAGAAAAGGAAATAGCGAGAGGCACAACAAGATCTATAATCTCCAACCATATCAACCTAAGCTTCCAGGGAACTGGCAATTCCTTTTTGCACCAACCATTCAAGGAGTCGCCTTCAACAATGCAACTATTGGTAAAACTTTTGGAAATTAAAAATCTAAGCCCTTGCAATAAGGATGCTAGCTCCGCATGGTTAGCCGTAGCTGAACCTAACGAACCAGCATACAAAAAAATGACAGAGGCCACCTCATTATGTAAGACGCCCCCAATTCCAGGCAAACCCGGATTACCAAACGAACTCCCATCAAAATTCAGCTTGAGTTATCCAATATGAGGTGGGGACCAGAAACAACTCGGTTTCATTTTGATTTTCCCCAAGAGGAAAAGGTTGCAAAGATTGAGCATAACAGTTGTCTGTGAAATGCCCCACCCTTCCTTGGTAGCCGAAAACCAGAGCCAAACAGATCGCTTAATGCTATCCAGTAAATACTCTTCAGAGATATTCAACCCCTCAAAAGTTCATCTATTTCGTTCCTTCCAGAGTTCCCATATCATAGCCCCTCTTGCAGTTTGCCACACCCGAATGCCACCAGAGTGCATATGGGGAAAGGAAAACTGGGTCACTAGATCCACCACCCAAAAGGGAAGAGGAGTCTGAATACCAAGGAGGCCCAAAAACCAGTGCCAAAGCTTGGTAGCAACTTTACAATGAATGAAGAGATGACTACCGGTTTCCTGGTCTAATTTGCACATCAAACAGATATTTAGTAGCACTTTACCCCTTTTAATTAAATTATCTACTGTTAATGTTTTGTTAAGGGCGGCTAGCCAAAGAAAGGCTTGCACCTTGTGAGGAATAGGTCATTTCCAAATTATAGCCACCTGAGGTAACGACCATCGCCATCTGTCGTGAAAAAAAAGCCTATAGCAAGATTTCACCGAGAATCGGCTATCACTCTCGAATTCCCATATGAGCTCATCCGAAGACCCCTGAGATATATAGACTGGTTCCAAAATCTGCAATAACTGTAACCACTGATGAAAAATGAAACCAGACAATCTCTCATAAGGAAAAGAATATTCCACACAACACTGGAACTTCTGGATTCAATCAGCTCCCCAACCTTGGCATCAAGGTAGAGCACCTTTGCAAACAACTCAAGAAAATAGAGCTTCAAAGAAATATCTCCCAACCATTTGTGATGCCAAAAAGAAATGGATGAGCCATTTCCAATCAACCACCAGAAATGAACTGCTATCATAGGTCGGCATCTAAAAATGGGCTTCCACAGGAAAGAACCCTCATTAGATCGGCTGCCTCCAATCCACAAACCATTCCCTGGCTTCCGTCCAAAATCCATCATGGAGATGAATGTAGGATAAAAGCTCTACAAATTGATTTTCTCAAAGATCATTATCTAAAAATTTTATAAATTTTGACTCTTCTTTTAGCCTAAAAAATAGTCAACGTTGTACTTTTTACACCGATCGTTCCAATTCTTCATAGAACAAAAGATCCTTAATATTTTTTGAACTAATTCATAGATGAAATAGATATACGTAGGTTTTAGAGGTGTTTCCATCCTAAATCCATTGAAAACCAGGGGGATACATACAACCGGAGATGCCCCATTTTTTTTTTTTTCATTTTTGTGATTCCAATATGACAAAAAAAGCTTAAGCTATCAACCCAAATTTCAATTGTTAGGGCAGGGTATGTTTCATTAAGGTTCAGTTTTTGAAGGACTATATTAGGGCTATGGTCCTTCCTGAGCATGCGGGGATTAGTAATTTACAAATATGTACCAACGGTCACTAAATCCATATTTTTAGCCTTAATTTTCTCCATTTTGACTGGAAAAAGCAAAACCATAAAATCCTTTAAATATTTGTGGCAGAAAAACGTAAATTGTGGCCTAGTTCTTTATAAATGTGGTGGCATGTTCTACTTAATTTAAATTATAAATTGGAGACTACCATATTCATTAAGAAGTTACTTGGTCTTTTCTCTCTTAAGATAATTAATCCAAACATTTTCTAGAACCCATGCTTTTGCTACTCCCACACAAAACATGGGTGGAAATATTAGAAACGCCTGTTGAGCTAGATTCCCTCTATTTACATGGGTGCCTATAAGAAGAGAGGAAAAGTATCCGGTCCACATGGAATGGAAGGGAATACAAGCAACCTTTTCAGTGGTTGGCATTTTATAAGCCAAAAATTGATTTCATAGTTTATTTTCTTATTTTTTATTTTGGGATGTAGGTTTATTTTTATAAACAAAACTAAATAAAAATGATAAAAAAATACGCTAAATAAAAATAACTAAAATACCGTTAAATTTATTTTGATCAATATTTTATTTAAAATATTTTTATTATTTTTTATTTAATTGTACGTAAAGAAATAAATGTAAATCCTAAATTTTAGCTTGGTATTGTTTTTAATAAAATTCATTTTTAGCCCTTGGAAGCAATACGAACCCTATAAGAAAAGCACAAATGGATATTAATGCGGCAATTAGAGTATTTAGTTTTAGGGCTTGTTTGGATGGACCACATATCCTCTTAGCACTATTGTATTCCTCAACTTGTGTGTGTTTTACTTACCCAAAAAATACACTTGTGTGAGTTTAGTACTGCAATGTGTTCATGTGCATCGTGTTTGGTGCGCAACTTCCGTAGAAAACGTCTCCTTGGCAAACGTCGAATAGCCAGAAAAAGAAATAACACTATTCTAAATAGTAGAAAGAATGGTATCCCTATCTGCTGAACCAAACTGTAACTTAGGTTGTTCTAGATATGGAATGCACACCAAAACTACCTACAAAGGGGCATTTTGGTCATGAGAAAAACCACAACGGCAACTTGGTCAGCCCCTACAAATTCTCCACGATGAATGCATCTCGGCATATTGACCGTTCATTCCGGACACGTGGCATCATCATATTACCCCTCCAAAAAAAATTCAAAAGATGATGTATTCGTTTATCTCTGACTAAGGCAGCTGCTACTGTTACTACTACACCACCTGTTTCAAACTTCACATTCTTTTGTTGCCATTTTCCTTCATTTTTTTTAATCATTTCTTTGTGTTTTGGCTGATGGTTTTTCCTTCGTTTTATGATTTTTACTGTGATGCCTTCTGTAATTGCACACAATAGAAGCATGGCATTCTTGGGGAGATCAGAACAACCATGGTAAGCAATATCACTTCTGTTCTTTTCTCAAATTCACAAAAGAAATCTCAAACTCTGATCTAATTTGTATAGAAACGAGATTTTTTTAATTTGATTTTGCAGGTTTTCGGCTAATGGACATCGATCAGACGTAATCATCGACGTCAATGGAGCCATCTTTCACCTTCACAGGGTCTCTCTCTTGAAATCTTATCAACAAAATTGATTACTTAAGGAAGTTGATCTGAAACCCAATTCATCTCTTCTCACATTTTAACTTTGATTCTGCAGGGCCCACTGGTATCCATGTCTGCTAAACTAGCAAACATGCTCATAAACAAAAATTCTAAAATCCCCACCTGTATTACTCTCCCCGATTGCCCGGGCGGCCCTGAACTCTTCGAGCTCGCCATGAAATTCTGTTATTCCCAAAATTCCAATGTAACTCCCGATACTGCCATCCCCCTTTACTGTATCGCAGCTTACCTCGACATGACCAAAAAACAGCACCCCAAAAACCTCCTGAAACTCATTGAAGAATTCTTATACGAGGCTGTCTTGCCTTACTGGAACGAGTGCGTTCGTGCCCTTCGAAGTTGCACCTCTGTGAGCCACCATGCTGTCTCGTTTGGCCCTGTGCGACTTCTCTCTGAAGCCATTGCTGCAAAGGTTGCTCAAGACCCTAGCCTCCTTGGTCCCCAGATGGAACCCGCGACCGGCGCGAAACGGAGGCTCTTTGATTGCTCTCGTGAGGATCTCACGACTCTTAGTCTGGAATTATACAAGTCTGTTATATCCGTGGTGATCTCATCTGGGGTCTCAAGGGAGTCCGTGGCTGGATCACTCTTCCGATACGCATCAGTTGCCGGAAATCGAACCCTACAGAGAGATGTTATCGAGGTTGTCGAGGAACTGTTGCCCAAGGGGGTGGCAACCTGCGACATGCTGTCTGAGCTCCTACGCAGGGCTGTGTATGTGCAAGCCTCAGATTCCTGCCGCTCGGGTTTGGAGCGGAGGCTGAGTCTAGTGCTTGACAAGGCCTCTGTGTCTAACCTACTAGTGCCGGCCCACGGATACTCACGCCACACACAGTTCGACCTCGGCTGCCCGCATCGGATCGTGCGTCAGTTTGTTGAGGCCCATGTGGGCTCAGACCTTGGAGCCCTGTCATCTGTCTGCGGACTCATCGACCAGTTACTCGTAGCAGTAGCTCCGGACCCGAACTTAGGTGTCGAGGAATTTATGTTGATCGTGTCTAGCGTGCCTACCAGAGCACGAACTTGCGCAGACGAGCTCTACAGAGCGATCGACGTGTATCTTAGCACACACAGTTTCCTCACAGAATCGGAACGGGAGGGGCTCTGCAGGGATCTGGACTGCGGCAGGCTATCACCAGAAGCATGTGCGCACGCGGTGCGCAACGAAAGGCTCCCGATGAGGGTCGCTCTTCGGGTCTTGATGGTCGGGCAATTGCAATTGAGGGATGAGATCGTGGGGGTTTCATCAGAGTCAGAGGCTCAGAATGCAGGAGGGTCGTCATCTAATTCCGGCGAGCTGCAGGAAAACATGGGGTGGGAAGGGGTGAGGTTGGACATGGAGAAGATGGAAGGGAAGTTGTTAGGGTTGGAGGAGGAGTGGGTGAGAATGAGGAAGGAGATTGAGGGGGCAGAGAAGAAGGAGAGGAAGAAGGTGAGGAGCTTGTGGAAGGTGGTTTGGGGTGGGCTTGGCTGCAATTCCAATGGTGCATTGCATGTGTCTGAGAAGAACAAGAGGAGGAGGATCCATCTAAGAAACCAGGAGTGAACTTTTTTTCTAGGGTTGGTTTTGATTTTTCCAGTTTCTTTAATCTTCAGTGTGTTTTTCATATTCATTTGTATTTATGTTTCTTTGTAAAGGGCTAACATGTAATCAGCAAGGGCCCTTTTCTTGTCTTGACCATTTTCCATCATTTTTTTCTAGACCATTTTAATTGTTCCAAGATTTTTCTTCCGAAAATTAGTGGCTTAAAATGAGAAATATACTTGCCAAGTATGAGTGGCTCGAAATTAGTCGTCCTCATATTAACTTTGGAGTCTTCTTCAATTCGTTGAGAAAAATCAGTGATTCCACCGATATGAGGGAAGCCTTCAGATTTTTTTTTAATTTATTATAAATAAAATAAATATTTATATATAAAATATACATAATAATGAAAAAAATAAAAAATAAAAAAATATTTTTATATAGCTATTTCTTTGCTAGTCGAAGCAGACTTGAAGCATACTTGAATCTGACCGAAGCAACCTAAAGCGGCACGAATTTGACTAAAGCGGCAATACCGGGCTTCACTTCACTTCAGTTTATACCTAAAATCCAAAGGCTTTTGGGCCAAAGTAAAGAAAATTTGATAACACTGATTCCAACTTTTGCATGATACACTTGATCCTTTAGGGCTTGAGAAAAAGAGGAGACATTATCAAAAAAATATTCTCTCTTAAAAAAGTTTAAAATAATTAAATTTTTTTAAATTTATGCTTGTACGTATTTTTTATTTTTTTAATGAAAAATGACCTTGTGAGACCATCACACACCCATGTGTAGGATCCCAAAAGATCACCATTAAATTTGACACATATCTCTAGAAAAGTCAAGTCCTACACCCATGTAATACCTTTTCTAGAGATCTGTGCCAAATTTAATAGTAGTCATTTAGGATCCTACACACATGGATGTGGGAGGGTCTCGTAGGATCATTACTCTTTTTTAATGATACCTAATATGACCCGGACCTAATCTTCTTCTTCAATATATGGGGTTGTAATCTATGAGTCATTTATCTTCAAAAAATTATAGATACTCTCCAAAAAATGAACTTTGGAGACACACTGCCCTAATACTTTTAGTATCCAAACATTATTTTTTATTACTTTTACCTAGTAAAAAAAAGAGACTAAAATGCCATTTCCCTCTATCTCTACTTGCCCTCTCTCTTTGTCTTTCTGTACACGACTGGAAATCTCTAACATTTCAGCTTTTTTTTATTCTCTTTTTACATGTCCTCTCTCTTAATTTCTTACTCTCTTTGTCTCTACTTGCCCTTACTCTCTCTTCCTCTCTTTACCCGCCCTCTCTATTTCTCTCTCTACGCATCCTATCTCTCCTCTTTCTTTTTCTGTACCTATCCTCTCTCTTTCTCTCTCTACCTGCTCTCTCTTTCTCTCTCTCTACCCACCCTCTCTCTCTATCTTTGGACTTTTTGAAATATCAACCGGGGTTAGGTACACTAGGTGCTGAACCGAAATTTTTTTGCAATCCGGCACATTTTCGTGGCGGACCACAAAAGAATTTTAGTCCCTCAAAGTATTGTGCCCGACCGCCTGGCTTAACACAGGCTTTTGGAATATTATGGTGCCTAGTCGAATTTTTTTTTGCGATCCAACACATTTTTGTGCTGGACAGCAAAAAAATTTTGGTCTAGAAGCAGAAAATACTTCTGGAATTTTCAGCATGTATGGCACACTGGACTGAAATTTTTTTTTCCGGTTCGGGCACATTGTTGTGCCATACCGATCAAAATAATTCTATAAATGTTCAATCTTCCCCGCTCTTCTAACTTAAGATGTTTTCTAAGGTAATTGATTATATTGAAGGTAATACATGATTTTATCCCCATGCAAAAAATAAAGACAAATTATACAAGGATAAACAAGGATTCAAGGGAGTGGTATCCGATCCTAACCTCTACTGGGGCCACAACGGAATTAGAAATGGGGCCATGGTAGAGGACTTTACTACTTTTTAATGGAGGCATAGCTACATTAGAAATTGGGCCATGGTGGAGTCTGCCATTCCAATTGAGCCTAAGTCAGAAACTAGGATTCAAGAGAGCTATCTCTATTCCAAACCTCTGAAACAATAGAAGCTTATCATTCAAAACAGAAAATTCAAAGACTCGTTTTCTTGTTTCCCCAGCAGCGGCATTGGCCACCTTGTTCTATCCCATCAATTCAGCATTCCACAACCAGAAAATGCACAAATTCAAAATACAGTTCATTATCGAATCCCAGCAGTTCAAAGTACAATTTAGATGGTTGGTAAGAGGCTTAAAAACCAATACCATCAATTCTTAAAAAACCATTGATTTTCCAAAAGGTGTGGTTTGTATAGAGCCAAGGCTCTAAATAATCAAATTAGAGCCCACCTTCATATAGTGTCAAGAAATATGGTTTTAATATTGAAAATCTTTGTGATTACCTTATAATGTATTTTTATCTTTAATTATAAATTATAAAGCTTCAAAAATAACGTAGATCAAGCAGATCTATGAAAATCTTGAAAATTAATCGTCAAAAATTGCCTTAGAAGATGTACTATTTCCAAAACTTGAAATCTATTTTTTTCTCATGGCTATGTATCTTGATGTCAAGATGATCAATTTGATAATATTTGGGCATCAAAACAACCTCTTCTAGTGAAAGTTTTGAGGTAGGCTCTAATTTGATTGTTAGAGCCTAAGCTCTATATAAACTTTTCCCTTATCGAAAACCCGCGAGTCCAACTTAAAACCAATAGTTATATGCATACTTTGGTGATAAAAAGTAATCACATATTTATACATAATTTATTTCTAATTCCAGCTTTGGTATTTTCATTTTATTACATATACTTATTAAATTTTTTATTTAAGTGATTGTAAAAAATTTTGAACTTTTCAATAATGGAGTATAGTTATACTTATTAAAAAGTACAATTATTACCCATATTATATAAACTTTGTTTCTAATATAATAACTATTCAAAAATTTGATAATGTGCGTTTGTTTGAAGTCTATGAATTTCCTATCACGTATTTTTCTTGGCAGAAATTTGGAGGATCATGGACACTTCTATCAGTGAATAAAAATAGTATATTCTCATATGTGTATTTGTTGATAAAATATGATGATATAATTGTATTATCATCTATTTTCTAATTTCAATTTTTCTATTTTCAATTATCAAATATATTTATTAGATTTTGCTTTGAATAATTTTAAATTTTTTGAAATTTTCTCAAAGGCTTGCTGATTAAAAAAGTATTATTACACGTATTATATGAAATTTATACCTAATTTAAATAACTATTCAAAAATCTGATGATATGAATGTGTCTTTATGTGTGTGTTAAAATGGATATAAGAAAAACTAGAAGACTTTCACAAAAGTATTATTATTTCAACTTTAAATTGGAATGTTTTTCGACAATCCTAAGAAATCTTACTTAATATATTCCCTTGGCTAATATAGGATTATTTTTAGGACTTCTTGGGAATGTACTCTTTAACCTGGCAGTTAACTTTAAAATAAAAAAAAAATTAAGGCGTTTACGATGAGCCGAAATAAAAGGTTGTCCTCAAATTGAATGTCGACCATCAAATTTTTGAACAATCAAATCCAAGTATTAAAGAACTCAAAATCCTTTGCTTTTTAAATAATCATGATTCTAAGTGGATTCCAAAGTTTTCATAGTTATCGTTTGTACAACAATTTGGGCAATTTTACGTGGTGGTGTATCTTGTTTGAAAAAAAAATTCCAATTTTGTAACCATTCTGATGTTTCAAATATAAGGCATGTTTTCATTTTAGTTTTTAATTTTGATGAATTCTAGGACCATACAATTGCCAATATATCACATATCCCAAGTTCTAGGTGAATCTGACATCGCAAATATTGGACCACCCTAAAGTTGGCCCATTCAATTTTTGAAAACATCCTCTCCATACTAATAATTTATTCAAGTTGGTGCAGTCCGATGTTTCAATCATTGGACTGACCTTTTGTTCTTTATTATTTTGTTTAAATGTAGTTTGATGTTTGAAACATTGGATCAACCACTATTGCCTTATTTATTTTCCAATTACAATTGAATATTTGAAACATCGGATCAACTCCTTCTTTCTCTAAAAGCTAAATGCCTCCTATATAATTTCCCTTTTTACTATATGTTTAAATACATAGTATATTAGTTTCATTCTTCATAAAGCAATTTTTATTACTTATACTTGTTATTAAGATGTTGCATTTTTTTTTTACTAAAAATTGCTCAAAGTTGCATAATAAAATTAGAGGTCAATAAGGGAATCCAAGATGCGCAATATTAAGGGATTCCAAAATGCGTAATAGAATTAGAGGTCAAATCGGGATAAGAACGAGTAATAACATATTAACGAGCTCGATCGTATAGGAATGGACATGACGAAGTTTTCTAGCTTTGATACCATGTGAAAAGCATCAGGTTTCTTGAAGAGACTTAGTGTATATACAAGCTTGCCTTAGATAGACAAATATAGATGACAAGCATAGAAATAAATCATAGATACTTATATCATACCCAGACTTACTATAAAATACAAAATATTGTACCTACCCTTTCCAGATATATTCATTACAATATCCACCTTCCATATTAACATGATAGACAATATATACTTTCCTTTCACATTATTAAGTGGAAATTTTGGTAATTTTGGCACATGAAAAAGAAAAGATGTTCAAATATGAATTATGAGGTTCTTAAGGGAAAATAGATGCGAGATGATTCTTTTAATGCGTTGCATATCTAAAATTTAAAATTATAGCTTTGGATATCCCTTCCTCATCAGGAAGTTCTTAACCCCCAATAGTAGTGGATATCAATTTCTTTGTATTACACATGAAGAGATATCAAAGACTCACTTCTATGTGTGTCATCTGCCTCTCTTTGAAGTTTGAAGTGAACTGAAAAAACTTCCTTCTCTATTTAAAGAGGTTAACCTTGGTGAACCATGTTTATTAGAGAGAGAAAGACAAGAGAAGTATAATTTAGAAAAAAAAAAAAGGTGTCGGGTTATCAAAGCGATGTACTCAATGAATCACAAATTTAAAATTTACTCAAAAACTTCAAAATTACAACTCTTGACTGAAATTACAATAACATACAAGTTCCTTTTCTTCACAAATAGGCAGTAAAAAATACCCCAAATAAAATATACAAGACTCTGAATT